GTATTGGTGATGCTGGTTGCCCCGGCCTGGGTGCAGGACCCTGCATTTGGTCTTGTTGAAGCTCCTGAGGTTCACCTAAGCCCACCTCTCCAGGTCCCTCTGGATGGCCTCTTGTCCCTCTGGCATGTCAACTGCACCACCCAGCCTAGTATTGTCAGCAAACTTGCTGAGGGTGCACTCGATGCCACCGTCTGTCATTGATGAGGATGTTAAACAACACCGATCCCAGTTTGGACCCTTGAGGGACACCACTTGTCACTTTTGCCCAGCTAGACCTCGAGCCACTGACCACTACTCTCTGGGCGCGACCGTCCAGCCAGTTTCTTATCCATTGAACAGTCCACCCATCGAACCCCAATCTCTCCAACTTAGAAATGAGGATGCTATGGGGGAGAGTGTCAAAGGCACTGAAGAATAAAAACCCAGATTATGACTTTGAGAATCAGATTTGTTGCAGTCAGAAATGGTACAAGCCACAGAAGTGCCAAACTGCTCATCTAAAAGTATGACTTCAGACAAGCTGTAGTAGTTTCCTTCAAGCTGAAGTGGAAAGCTTTTAAATGAAGAAAGTCTTCAAAGTTAGGAAACACCATCTTCCTTACAAATGCCCACTTCAGCTCTAAAAGAACATCCCAAATGGAAAATCCTTAGGTAAATTCAGGGAAGAATGAGGCATTTCACTTAGCACCCTTGTCAGTACCGTATCACCATTTCTGGATGTGTAGACTACTACAATTCCCCTGCTTGGCAGGGGAAACAGAACTAGTTTAGATACAGAGGTATTATCACTGTGCTTTTTAGCAATCAACAGGTACGAATGTACAACAACAGGCAGAAGCCTACATTTAAACAACTTGTGTCTATCATAGCTGGTACTTAACTGTATTTGGATTCAGGCAGCTTACACACAGAATAAGGAACTGGAGGAAACCTGTATTACTCTTGTGTGCTATTCCAGACCTGCCAGAATTCCAGAGTTCAAAACCACAAAGAGCAGTAATTGCTGGAAGTAGCAAGATAGCAGATATTATCAAATTGCTCATCTCACTTTCAAAACAGTAAGGTTCCTATGTGATGTTATTAAGCCAGGCTGGATGGGGCTCCAAGCAACCTGGTCTACTGGAAGGTGTCCCTGCCCATGGCAGGGGGGCTGGAACTAGATGATCTCAAAGGTCCCTTCCAACCCAAGCCATTCTGTGATTCTGTGACAGTCAATAGGTATCTTGAAGATGAACTGTTTTAATAATGTTTACTTTTCACTTCATTAGTGAGGTTCATCCCTTTAAGAAAAGGAACTCAACATAAAGAAGTAATGTAAGAATTCTCTACTTACCTTTCTAATTTCCTACTAGCATCTTATGTGCATCTTCAACAATTACCATTGAACTTCTATGGAAGTGGATGCAAACCCACAAAATTTGGTTTTGGTTAAAAAAAAAAAAAAAAAGCAGTGAAATGCTAAATTCCAGATAACCTCAGATCTCTTCTCTTGTACATTTTAGCAAAAGATAAGCCAGGGTATTTAAAGAAGTAATTTTAGAGGCACGCTGCTAATCTGCTTATGAACTGAATTATTTCTGTACTTGAGAAATTCCAGGTATTACACAAGCAAGTGCTTTTCCCCTGTAGTATCTTCACTGGAAACCCTGAGAATTCATATTCCCTACTAGAAGGGACATTAACATAACAGAAAGCATCCCTGCATCAGAGATATTTATCTGGACCACTTTCAGAATCTAAATTTTTCTTTCTATAACACAATATACACTTTCTACTTTAGCAATTATTCCAGATGAACAATTACATAAGGCTCCCAGCTCTCTCCTCTGCCTTGGAAAGAAGTATTCTTGATTTAGCCAGTAGAAGGCCAAGCAATACTTTTCCAGGTAAATTAGTAATATTAATGGCTACAATTTCATTTGTACTTTATTCTGCAACTTTAGCATTTACTTGAGTGATGCACGTTTCTTAATGCGAGGGAGCATCACAATTTTAGGTATTGGATGTTGATATAATCCCCAGCCCAAGGCTTCCAACCAGTCTTCCCAAAATGGAAATTTAAGAATCCTTAAGCTGTAACAAATAGAAAAAGGAGTAAAATGCACAAAGGACAACTTAGAACACCAAGTCCCACAACAGCTGGCCTGATCACTCTCCACCAGCAGCCACGATCCAGCCCCCTCAAAAAGCCTATCTTGGCAAACTCGGAGTAGTCACTAGGTCTGGAAAATAAGACGGGACCTTGGAATAAGATATACCTTCCCTCCTACCTTGCTGAGGCTCAGAGCCCTTACAGTAGTTTCCTGCAAGACCCATTTGTTTTCTGTGATACCGTCTCCCCCGTGGAGCCAGTCCACTTAAACCTAGTCTTAGAGCAAAAATCCAAAACACTGGCTTCGTGCTCCCCCACCATATGTTAACTAGTATTACCTGGAAATACTAAATCCTGTTAAGGAATCAGATCATAGCTGTAGAAACAGGCTCGGTGTTTTACGTAGCTTATAATGTTTAGAGCCCTGCACATGGAATCACCCCGTCTGGCCCTCCAGCCCCGCGCTGCCTTCCTGCCAGGCGCGGTGCACCGGCCCTCCAGCCCCGGCCGTCACAGCCCTCTGGTGAAGGTGCAGGAGGCAGTTCTGATGGCATCCGTCCTCGTTTGGGTTCCTCAGCTGCCTTCTGGGCTGCGCTCAACTCAGCACAACTGCTTTTCAGCCAGTCTTGTCCAGAGATGGTGTTGCTTCTCCCTCTATGCCATCAAGGGAAACCTGAGCAGTGAGGAGCAGAGACCTGTGGGGACTGTGGAGCACTTGCAGCCCACCTAGAGATAACCCCCACACACAGCCCTGCAGAACTGCTCTGCCTGCTTCACCAAGGCTGACAGGGCAAGGGCAGGCTCAAGGAAGAACTCTGCTGAGCAGGAACCCTAGGTGCCAGCTTTGGTACACTGCCCAATTCTCCTTTAGCATCTTCCAGTACAAAGAAGAAGGAACAGCTGTTTTCATCTTTCTTCTACCTTCTTTAAGGTGTGGGGCTGAGGAAGTTCACTTTTAGCTACCACCCAGGTAGCATTTAGACACTACCAGCATACTTCAGGAAAACACTGTTACATAGCCTGTCAGAAACCTGCTGGGATTTGTCTACTGGCTCTGTGCCAGTCACATTTAGGTTTTGTTTTTTATTTTATTATCAATCAAAACTTTTATTGAAAGCTTTTGCCTTCAGGCTTTTTAGATAGTTGCCCAAGTCTAGGAAGTGTGGGGTTGTGCCTAAACCCCAGTGTGCCACACATACACAATATCACTTAAGGAAAAGCAAAGTTTACATCCCAGAGAATACTAGTCATGTTTCAGCTTTCTCAGGATTATGACAATTTCATCACATTTGCCAGTTCCGTTTGCTGAGATGTCAACATCCCCTCCTCTCAAGAGAACCTTTTACCACTTCAAGCTTATGCAGGCAGGGACAAAATATAAGTGATCAAGGAAATAGTTTTGGCATTAGAGAGACCACCTTAAACAATTAAGAACACATCAGGTTGCTCAACAGAACCCAAACAAAACCTAAGAATATCCAAAACTCTGTACACACCATAATGCTATCATATCCAAAAACTGACTCCCAAGTGTAAAGTCACAAAGACAAGAGTTTAATATTGACCAAAAAAAAAAAAAAAGACTTAAGTTAGTGGTATTTTCTTCCTTGAAATAACATATTGGTCATATGAAAGTCACTGAAGAGGTCTGCTTTTAGCTCGGAAGACTTTTACAGTTACAGCTGAATTCAAAAACCCTAATTCCAAATGTGTGATGTTAACACAAAAACTGAAAACTTAAGACCTGGGATAAAGAACAAATTCAGTTGTTAAGATTCTAGCAGGTATGCAAGGCCTTTCAACACTTCTCACTGCATGAAAAGTTCTTCAGTATCTTTCCCGCCACCATTATTTCAAGATTGACAAGGTTCTTTAAAACACTAATGGGGTTAAATTGAAACCAAGCGTCATATGCTTGTAATGTCTTCTGTGAAGGTCTGAAGCCACCCTGTTTCAATTATTTGGTTATTCAGTGCAGAAAGTTAAAGATCACAGAAAGTATAACAGCTTTTAATACTCCATTAATATTATAGATTAAAAATTATTGCATAGTCTTATGCATTTCCTAAAACACCGTTCTCTGGAAATTAAACATTTTAATATAAAAGGAGCAACTCTTTAAAACATGAATTGCTTTCACTACCTCGATCTTCTATCCTTTTTTGATTTGTCAGTACATTTGTCCATTGTTTTCTCATTGTCTCCTCTGCACTTGGGACAATACCATTTCCCCTTTGGTTTGTAGGTGAGTCCAACACACGAAAAGTGGAACCACTCAATAGGACACTGTTCGTTATCACACCCTATCATTTCACCGTAAGACACTTGGTTGCATAAGCAGTAAGTTGGTTCGTTTGGATCAATTGCAAACTCCACAGGTGAAACCTCTCTCTCTTGCTTGGCTTTGGAGCGCTTTTTCTTCTTGGAGGATTTAGACCTTTTTTCTTTAGGTGGCTGATCGTCGCAGTCGTCAATGCCGTTTGCTATGTGGCACAGGTCACGGCTCTCGCTGGTGCGCTGCCGACGGGGTCTGCGCGAAGATCTCTCTGGCTGGCAGGTCTCCATTTTTGCCTTTTCTAGAGGCTTTTCGTTCTCAGACAGATCTTGAAAACACTGGGAGTGTGTTTCCATTTGCCGGGCTCTATTCTCTACCAGTTCTAGCATCTGAGTAACTATCTGGATTTTTTCGTCTCCAAGTTCTTGGCTGTTGATTAACGCCCGCTGAAGGTGCTGCTGCAAGCGCTTCTTCTGAACAGGATCGTTTTCTGACTTGTATTTTTCATAGACATCATCTATTTCTTTTAATGCTTCTATAAAATAAAGATAAGAGGAATAATTACACAACATGGAACATGCTCAAGAAAATACAGAAATGTGTGTCTAACTGATGAGAAACAGTACAAATTTTATTTACAGTATACCCAAGTGGGCTGGATGAGATCTTTTATTTAAGTTACCTGTGGTCATCAGATCAGCATTCAAGATCCCAATCTGCTGTAACAAAATATTCTCACATTCCAGGAAAAAGCAAGCTTAATTTAGGCATTGGAAAAAGAACGGATAACCCAGGAAAGGCAACCACAGCTGCTGGAGCGTGGATAGTCCAGCTCCTGCCTCCATCTGACAAAGCAGGAATTTCTGTTCAGAGTCCTTACCACAGCAGTTCCAAAACCCTGGCCTAAAACCCACAGGAATAGCTTAAGAATAAACTTAGAATTCACATAATCATTATATATCAGACTCTATAACACTGCAGAATTAGGATATCCAGGTCATCTGCTCTCCCCTTCTTATCCATCTGAAGGTTTGGTATTACACTTTCAAGTAGACATAGTTATAAAAGAAGTATGACGGCTGAAGTTACACAACAGCAAATTTACAATCAGGATTTAAATCAACTTAAACCATCCCAAATGTTTTTCCTGTTGCCAAGACAAATTACAGCAAGCTGCATTTTAAATCAAGGCTGAACTTTTCAGAATAGGTGACCTACTGTTTAGGGCATCACAGGATATTTTCAAGTAATGAGTAGCTCACAGTTTGACTTCTAAGCTTCTCTTCCTGTAAGCCATGCAAAATAGTTGAATGAAGTGCTGTGAATCTTCCATAAAATGTAGTTCTTATAAGCAAGTTTAACAAACCCAAATATGAGATTAACAAATACCCTGTAAGCCAGTCTTGGCCTGTTCTTAATGTTCTATACTGCTGGATTTTAAACTAATAATTTCCAGTCCAGAAGTTACCCTAGATATATACATGAAAGACAGAAATTGCTAACACAGAAGGCAACAGATGAGTAGAACCGACTGTGAAACCTGATGCACAGTGTTAGATACAGTACCCGTTCCTTCAGAAACAACTTAGAGATTTTACTTGAACAGGCAAGTGAATGAATGATACTAAAATATTTACTTCTAAAGTGAGAAGATATGCAGCACAATTGATCTTTTTCTAAAGACCTCGGTTTCACAAACTGGCTTTCATTTTTAAAGCATTTGTCTGCATTGTGCAGTTGTGAAATGATTCGAACTTGTACTAAATGGAAGCCATAGATATTATCAAAACATTGTTTTCAGTGATTTTTTTTTTACTGCTGACATCCTGAAACAGCAGCTTAAGCATTAACAGCCACCTTTTGCTATAAATTCTGAAACCTCTATGACAACAGGAGCCAACTGCATTTTGTGCTGTTCCAGACTAGGGGAAGAGAAAAAAATCACTGCTTGGCCTGTCCAATAACTCTCTTAAACTATTCTTTTTCCTCAATACTAGCATTCCAGCTCCTATTAAAAACACAAGCTTTGTTTCCCTGCACTCAGTTGTTTTGCTTGCATGTTCCCCTGACAGGGGAAAAAATAATAAATAAGTAATCTTACTCTTGGCTCCTGAAAAGCATGAAGTGCTTCCTACGCTGTCGAACCAGAAAGGCATAACCAGAGTACAATATTCTGCAGCCACATTATCTCCCACACAGCTTTTTTTTTTTTTGGGAGGGGGGGAAAGGACGGTAGGAAGCGTACCTGTAGTTACACAGATTCCCCGTAGTGGGGATAATGCCCTACCCAGAAGAACCCATAAGCAGGAACTGTTTGCTTTTTCACACTGTGACAGAGGAAAACGTTTCACCGTATGCTGATTATTCCTGAGATGAAGGCCATGAAAATAAGCTGAACACTTTAAATGGCTCACCATCTCTTAAAAAGAGAGAAGAGCTTTTAGACTGAGAGATGCAAGTTCACCAAACTCCTTGTTGGCCTCCAAGATTAAAGAAGGCATTCATACAACCAACTAAACAGCTCTGAAACCCTCGTTAAAAAAACAACAACAAAACCCCAACAAAACACAAACCAGGGCCAAGTGTCTGTTACAGATAATATCATTAAGTTTGGTGGAGCTAATAAAAGCTAAAAGGATTTTGGTGACTTTGTCCCTACTACATGAACCGTCACTACCTGTTAAATTAGCTGAAATTACATAGCACTGCTTTTACATCTTCAGACTTGGACCTAAACTATTTTTATCAAATTTTTAGGTTCGGGGAGTGCAGGGGGTGGTTTTAGTACAGGTGAAGGCTTTGGTGAAACTAGCAACAAACTTGTGCTTTGGCCCAGCATCGCATTAGTAGCTGGAGGAATACATCTGAGAGAAATAGCCTAAATGGAGGATTCAGTCTGTTAAGACAGACGTGGAGCTTGGCTAGTCACCAGTGATCAGGTGAAGAGCCCGCCAGGCAGTCCAGCTTTGACTAAGAATTCAAAATATGCCATCAAGTCTATGCCCCTCAGCCTAGCAGCAACAGAAAACTTCAGACAGGCTGTTCTTATGTATCTTCCTGGGCAATTAGAAAGATAATTGGAAGAATCCGTTTACAATAGCTGCCTGAAAGGCATGCACGGTCCCCCCTCACCCACACCGAAGAAAGCCTCCCCCCTCATCAGCCGGTCACTCGGTCCCGGCTCCCACTCCGCGGGTCCAGCTCCCTCCATCTCCTGCCACGGGGCCGCGGCG